GCAGCTAGTGGCCCGCGTCGCCCCCGCGCAGGGCGGGCCCGCGCTTATTCCGCCCGGGAGGAGCGCCGCGGCGAGCCCGCTGCCGGCCGCTTCTGCGGGATGCTGCGCTCCACGTCCACCGTCACCCTGCTCTCGGGCGGCGGCACCAGGGCGCCCGGGGCGCCCAGCAGGAGGGTGAGTAGCTGGGGGCGGGAGCCGCCGCCGTCCCGCTTCCCGGTCCCGGCCGCCCGGCTGTAGGGGTCTGGGGGTGGGGACCCCCGGAGCCGGTCTCTGGCCCCGACGCCCCACTCTGGACTCAACTTTCTGATCCTGCCCCAGTTCTGGCTGTGACCCTTCTTTTCGACGCCCCAGGGGCGCCCCACCGGTTCCAAGGGTTTAGGGGACTTTCTGGAATTCCCGGAGATTTCCTCTGCTTCCTGCCTCCTCTGTCAAGCCAAGTTTTTTGGTGGCACCAGTTTAAAAAGTAAGGGAGACATTTCTGCGGTGGCCCTACCTTGAGACTCAAAGATAATGAATGTCTTTAACACCCAAACTTTCCTTCAGCCAGCCATTAAAAGAAGGGGTCACTTGTGTCCACTGGTGATAGAATAACTCTGATTCTCGAGTGGACTTAGCCAAGATCGGCTTCACCTTACAAACTAGAGATCAGCAGCTGGCCACCCAGGAGCTCAGTTGTGTGGGACTTGGGTTTATGCAAACCACTTTCTTCTTTCTGGTTTAAATATTAGCACAGTGGCAGCAGGGGTAGCCCTGGAAGCCCTGGGCACTATCTCCTGGAGGGTTGCCCTTTGGAAGTGCTGTTTCTCTGCGATCTTTGTGGCATCTTTTCTCACCTCTCCAGATGCTCTGTGGAAGAAATGCTAGGCACATGCAGGTTGCATCTTTCCCATTCCATGTCTCTTCCAAGATCAGCGCCTCAGGGTACACTGCCAGGGCCTTGGTCTGTGGCTTTTTAGTTCGTCCCTTCCTCATGATTTCAGTACTTATCATTTGGTGCCTCTTTTCTGTTGTTGATACTTCTCTAATCATGTTTCCCCAAGGTTTAGCTAAACTGGTGGTTAAGTCCAAGCCAAGGCCCCCTCTGGTACTCCTGTTTTCTAGTCTTGTAGACATGTTTATTTGCTTTTACATATTTCAACCAAGTGACCAGCAGTCCCCTTACGTGCTGTCTTTCTTTAGCTCTAGAAGAAAGGCATTGTGTACTCTTGGGTGTGGGCCAAATGATAGGTTCTGGGGGTGGGGAGTGTGCAGATGTGTGTGTGCATGTGGGTACACCAGACACTTAGGCTTGACAGAACTCTGCTTGTCCAATCCTTTGCTTCATAAAGCAAGATCCCCATTAGATCCACGTGGGTTTCCAACCACAGTCCCAGCCTTACTCGAAGACTGATATTGGCCTTTTTTCCTATGGAAATCGTTCTCAATTGGAACACAATTGCAATTGAAAAAGAATGAAGTCACTGAAAAGCTAACCCTGAGCCTGGGTAGGGTCATGCATGGGACCAGATAGCATGAATTGCATGAAATTCTCTAAGTCTCCTTCCAGAGGTGAGGACTGGTTGGGACAGCCAGAGTGATATTGTGGGTGGATGCAAATGTGGCTAGTATATTAGATAACCTTTCTGAAGGTTCTTTTCCTCAAATGTTTACTTTCAAGTATTTCTTTAGTTATAAGTGCTTTGGTGTCTGGTACAATTGAGAAGGCTTTGCCGTATGAATAAAACAACTGAAATACTTTGGACTGGAGGGGTCCGGGCCCTGACTCAGACCATCTAGGGCTGTTCTGAGCACATGAGGATTGTTCTAGAAAGAAGATAGCTAAAGGTCCTAGGGTTCCCTTTACGATTTCCAACTCTGCTCATGGTTTGCACATGTCACAGGTGCAGTCTGTGTGTGTATGCGTGTGTGTGGGGCATGGTGGGAAGCTGTCATCCTTTGATTTATTTAACAACATTTATAGATCTCTTTCTCTGTGATGCAGGGCTGGGCATTGGAGCCCACTCTACCTGTGGAGGCAGACGTTGTCACAGACTACCATTATACAAAGTGATGACTGTTAGAGTGGGGTAGAGTGTTGACAAAGTTGAGTGGAAGCTGAAAGGGAAGATTCTTCCTGAAGTGTCTAAGGAAGGCCTCCCTCTGCAGGAGACATTTGAGTTTAGTCTTGCAGGATGAGTAGAAATTCGTAGGGCGATTGACATTACTGGGATACTGAAAGGAAGAAATATCATTCATCTAAATGGCGCTCTTGGCATATGCTGCATAATAATGGCATATTGGACCTGCTTTAAGGCAAAACACTTATTTTTGGAAAAACAAGAACAGTATGTCTTGAAAATAAAATTGTAGACTAAACAAGTAATCATGAAAAGTGTTCCTGAAGTTCAAAGTTTTTCAGTAAACTCTATATCGTCCTCTCTTTCCTCTCTGATGTTGGACAAGTGATGGTCTTGAACAATAACACGTTAGCCATTAAAATAGCATTTCTGTTTCATCCAAAGAGCTTACCAAATTAGGGGCTGCTGGGGAACCCGACTGTGTTGGTCCAGACATTCAAGGCAAGCAGCAGTGGTGGTGACAGCTGACACTGAGCAGGGAGTTCTCTGAGTCAGCTGCCCAGGGTGGTGTGGCCAGACCAGACTGTCACCAGTTATCCTTTCTTTAATGGCTGCCACCTACAGTTTGTACTTCCTTCTTATCTGAAATCATCTTTCAAGGGAAAAAAAAGACAACAGGTGAGATAATAACTTCTGTCAGCTGATAAACACAGCTCTGAGAAGCATTTATGGACACCAACCAGCAGGGGTTGTGAAATTAAAAAAAAAAAAACTACCTTCAAACTAGTTGTGCACTAAAAATAGTTTTATCTATGGCAACAGCAGGAAGATAAATTGGCTGGAGGATAACCATAGCTGGAATGATGACCTTGGAGAATGGGGGGAACCATTTAAAAAAATATTGACTTTGCTTCATGGTTTTGAAAGGAATTTTGTAAATGCAGTTAACCCCCTGAATGAGCCTTTGAAATGAAAGGTCAGTTGTGTGGTCAGGTTGTGTGCTTTGGGGAGAAGGCACGTGTTGTTTTGTGCAGCCAAATATTTTTGGTTCAGCTCTTCAGCGAGGGTGGTGTGAGACGATAGTGCTGTCAAGGGTCTCCTCTAGCAGTACACTCGATTGATATTAAGAGACTGTGGGCTGGTGTTGCTGGAATCATGGCCCCTCAGTGGCACATAAAAGACAAAACAAAACCCAGCAAGGCCATAAGGATAGGACTATCTCCTAGCCTGCTTTTGCCAATATTTCTTTTTATTTGGCAAAGGCTTCCTCTGTTAAAAACCCAAATGGGCTTGTCAGTCATCACTCCCTACCTAATGTACCACTCTCCGGGGTCCTATTTCTGTCTCATTGGCTCAAAATAAAGAATTCTTCTTAGCTGGTCAGTGAATGGGTCAGCCAGGTGTTTACCTCACTTCCTTTTCCTTTTCACAGAAACATCTGTGTGGATAACTTCTCTATGGTCCTATGGGCTCTGAGGAAGGGACACAGGGCGTTGTGGGACGTCAGCATCTGGTGGAAGGACGCTGGCTGCAGCATCTACCAGGGAGGAGTGGGCAGGGGACCCACTGTACTCAGAAAACAGGCTGGCTCCTCACCAGGGCCCTCCTGAGCCAGCTCCTGACAGGCCAAGTTGTGAGGTTTGGGACCCTGACATCCTCAGGGCTTAGCCAGAAAGCCTCTGCCACTAAAATATGACAGTTGTAGGCTCAGAAAAAAATGTCCCAACCTCTGTGCTTTGGTTCACCATCTTGCTGTGTCAGAGGTAGGACGAACAGACCTGAGTCCTGGGGACTCTTAAGGAACTTGATTTCCTCAAGACAGCGATCGCATGGTTGTTCTCAGATTGTATGGCAGTGAGATTCTGACCCATTCTTTGCCTCCAGGGCCCTGAGGAAGGGCTGCATAAGTGGTCTCTGTCACAGTTTATCTATACCCAAACAAGAAACCCAGAGGCTGCTGTTGCCACCGAGCTTCTGGTCACTTGGAAAACCCTTTCAAGTCAGCCTCAAAAATTGTCTAATGGAGTTCAGGGAGCTGTGAATCCAGGGCTAACTAACTAGAGACCACATTGAAATGTTTCGATCTAAAATACTTCAGCGATCACCTGCGTTATGGTCTTAGAGCTTCCTGCGGTGATCTCTGTTGACCTAAAAGAGTTCCAGTATTCTCCAGCACGCAGAGGAGTAACACAGTGATATTTGCCTCTTTCCCCCTTTAGATGAATGATATTTCCTAAATGTCAATCACACTGCTGGCTCTTCTTTGTTCTTTAAGTGATTGTTTCAGAGTGATCTTTCTAAAATGCAAAATCCGGTCGTCTGATTCCTTTGCCTCAAGAGCCCCCTGAATACTGCCAGGAAAAAGTACAAACTCCTTAGTTTATTATCCAGGCCCTTCTGATCTGGCCTTTGCCTTCCCTGTCCCCCTCCTCACGTATACACTTTCCAGATAGTCCGAATTACTTGCCGTTACCCAAGCTTTCCATGCTATTCCTTGCCTCTTTGCCTTTTTTCGTGCTCTCATCTCATGAAAGGTCAGCTCCTCCAGGAAGCCTGCCCTGAACCCTCCTCTTCCACGTCCCCTAGATGCCTTTGCACCCCGTCATTGCTTGCATCACCGATGATGAACTACTTGAGGAGAGGGTTTAGGTCCCCAGGCCTGGTATAATACGTGCTTAAAAAGAGGAATGTCACCAGGGTCCTAAGGGAGCCACACTTATCATTGACTTGGCAAACGGGAAAACAGGAAGAGAAACTTGGGATGAAGCCAGCCCATCCCCTCTGACCCACCTGGGCAGGAAGCAGGTGACAAATGGATGAGAGTGCTGGCCCAGGTGAGGAGTTTGACAGGTCTGGGAAGGCCTCCAAGTATTCCAGTTGCCTCATCCTGTTGCACAGTTGGAGTTTCATTCCTTTGGTCAAGTCAGTGGTTCTCAACCCTGGCTATACATGGAATCGCCAAGAAGCTTAAAATATCTCTGCCCAGGCCCCACCTCAGACTGTTTGAATGAGAAAGTCTGGAAGGAGAGAATAACATCAGTATTGCTTAGGAAGCTCCCCAGGTGATGCTGTTTTGCAGCCAAGGAGCAGAACACCTTTTTAAGCATTGCTCTCCCC